GTGGCTTAACCCATCTGGAAACAGTGTCCCTTGCTACTGGCTTAAAGGGTTTGACATAGCTTAACAATAACTGAGAATGATCCTTACGCAAAGGGTCAGTTCGATGGATATATTCCCTCAAATGTTGCACCACACAAAGTTCCTTGTCCTCTGGAAAAGCCAATAGTTCTATAGGCTCCAAATGTCTGCCTGGTTTAGTCTGCTTTAAATTCTCATAGACAGAAATTCTGTACCGATCACGCAAGTCCTGTATGTAATTAACGTCGAACTTATGGATAGTTTGTCCACGCTGGCCAGTGGTAAAACACAGCAACATGGTTAACTTAAGCGTGTGGTATTGCTTAGAGGTATCCTCTCTCCAAGAGGCCATAAGGACATCTTTCGCACTGGATGATAAATTGTATTTACCTAGACTTTCCCTGATAAGAGACAGACTAGGAGGTTCAATTTGTGCCAAATTGGGTGTACTTCCTCTGGATGACTTGGTAACCAGAGTAGGTCCCTTCTTGCTTTGAGATAAATTGGTTCCTGTTTCAGCATCTCCAGAGCTTTGGGATACCAATCTTGGGCTGGCCAATCCGGCAACACAACAACTCCTAGGGCTTCCTCTCTCTGTATTTTGCTCAAAACTGCGGGAATTACACTAAAAGGTGGAAAGGCGTAGAATTCCAGTTTAGACCACTGTAAGGAGAATGCATCTATGGCGAAAGCTTCAGGGTCAGGTCTGTACGAAACATACTTCGGAAAAAGGTGATTAATGCGGAAGCAAAGAGGTCAATGTCAGGGTGAAAATTAAACCTTGATAGAGCATTTTGGAGTGCGGCTTTAGGAAGCTGCCATTCTGCCTTCCTTTGGTTCCTTCGAGATTCAAAATCAGCAACAAGATTTTGTTTACCAGGGATATGGGCAACACTCAACCAAATGTCCCTAGCTATACACCACTCCCAAATTCGTTTGGCTAATGAATTACAAGAATCAGAATGACTCGTTCTCATATGATTAATCACATTCACAGCTGTGGTATTATCACACGTTTCTCGAATGTGTGTGTTAACCCAGCCTTTAGCAAAAGTTTGTAAGACTAAGTAGATAGCCAGCATTTCCAGGTAGTTTATGTGGTACTGGGCTTCTACATGGGTCCAATTCCCCCCTATGGATACTCCATCATGTTCACCTCCCCACCCTGAGAGGGAGGCATCTGTAGTAATTTGCTGTTGGGGTGCCACATGTGATATCACATTGTGGGCAGTCATCACATTATCACACCACTACTGCAATTCACACTTAGCTTGTTGTGAAAGGGACATATGAGCATCAAAATTTCCTTTTGCCTGTCGTAAGGCTAAACATTTGTCTTTTTCCAAGTGTCTGTAGAACAAGGGTCGGTGCCTCACCCCAGGAAAACTAGCCACTATTCTGCCAATTGCACTTGCTACTTCCCTCATAGATAAAGTGGTAGCTCGCAAAAACTCAAGACAAACAGTTTTGAGGCCCA